TAAATGGCAATTTCGAGTAATGCGTAACACAAATCGATTTTTTTTTGTTATTGGCTACTAAATAGTTACTTGCTAAATATATGTATTTATACGTAAATAGTAATTTGTGATTTTACGAGCATATTTTTAGCTTAAATATTTATTATAGTGCAATGCTCTAACCAACTAACTAGCTACATATGTATGTATGTAACTACTCACTAACTAATTATTGCATGCATAGTAAACGATTGTGATTAATATACTTATTTGTTTAGTTTTTTTTTTTTTAAATAAATTAGTGTTGTTTTTGTAATAACGAATTATTTTTTGGTGCAGCAAACAAATACGTTTGGTGTGGGTAGCGAAAATCATGCTCATGCACAGCTCGCAATCTAAATTAAAAAAGGCTTTTCCATTCTTTTTTGAAAGATGACTTGGGAATATAAAATACTTGTTACAAAATTTGACAATATGATGAACATTTCACGACGATTTTCAACAAGACAGAAGTGTCAACCAAATTTACACAGCTCTCTTGGTAGCTAACTATATTGTCAAACAATACAAAGAATGCAAATAGAAAATATTTTCAATACGATTTGAATTATTTTCTTCTATGTTTGACACTTCAGTCGCTGTCCAAAAGAGAAAAGTCTCGAAATTACTTCTAGCTTTTTTAATATGCCAGCATTTATTTAGGCTTTTTCCAGTTAAATTGAATACTACGTTTCACTGAGGTAGGTACTTTTTTTCTTAAAGCTCCGAACTCTTGAAATCACTGAAACTTTACTTTAATAACTTCTCGAAGAGTTGTCATTTCTGAAGTAACTTTTGGTCAGACAACACGAAGAATCTGCTTATAATTTGATACCCATGAATAGGCAAAATTCTAATGAATAAGTACTGTAAGTGCAATATCGGGGGACGTTAGAAATGTTGATAAAATAGTCCCACCCACCCAGCACATTCACAACAATGTCTTTAATCGCTCGCCATCTTATTCAAGTTTTTTCATATCAAGCCAATCAACAGTTCTTTTAGCGGGCGGGGGCCAGTAGCGCAGCATATTCATTCGTAATATTTGATAAAATAAATTTTTTGAACTTGTTCTTAATATGCTCGATACATAATCCTAGATACCATGCAGCTTTGTGCTTGGATCCGCACTAGTGGCGCGCCAGTGTGATCTTCTCCTCAGATAGATTGGTTAACGTTAATTAGTTCCAGCGCCTTATCTACGTCTAAAAGTTCCGCATAGAAAATGCTATCGTTAAGTAACAATCTACCTCATACCTATCAATATTCCACTGAAATCTTAGAAATTGTAATCAAAAAAAAAAATTCCCAAAGAGACACCAACTTAAGGAATCATTTTAGGAATTTTGTAAAGCTTATTTGCTTCAATAATACAACAAGGGCGTAATATTTTGGCTGAGAAACTTTAGTTTTCATGATTCCAACTAATGACATAAAAAATAAACTGGACCTTAATAACGATCTTCATAAGTATAATTTTAGAGTTTTTCTTTTTTTTTAACTTGAAGACAACATGAAATTAACTTAATATATATATTTTTCGTTTCTTGTGACCATGCAAATAGATTCCTTGACGCAACAACAGTAAAAATATGTGTTTCATTTTTTTCAAGTTCATTCCATACTGTTTTCAAATGCAAACCAGAAAGAGGTCAAGACGCCTTTTTTTAAGGAAGTTTTTTTGAAAAAGTTTTTGAACTTACATAGCATCCTCTTTGATTGAGTTTTGTGAAGCTGTTGAATAGGAGACTAGTTCTTTCATAAGATAAGACTTTTGTAAACTGGCGCTTCAAAGTACGGCAAGGGGAAATACATTTTTTAAGCAATTATCACATATCTCGCTGAGTTTTTTAAAGTAAAAAATTTGCTGGATTTCTCAACTGTGCAACTGGTTCCAATGCTTGGCTCACCTAATAATAATACTCTCGTACCAAAAGGTAATCCCTATATCAACTAGCTATCTCTATCCCAACTCTAAATCTGGTCTACCGCTCTCGCTCTGATAAATATATCGTCGGTGATATGATATTAGTTCCACTTATATGATCTCCTACTTGCACCGGAGTGCATCTGCAAATCCTTCCACCCTAACAAACGAATGACAAAATTTGGCCGATGAAGATGAACGATTGCCAGAAGCGTTCAGATACAGATAACAGATCAATTAAGCACCTGAGGTTATAAGTGACACCCCAGTAGAACTTGGGAGCATCGTACGATTGCTCGGTGAGTACTCCCTTGGGAGTATACGAATACTCCCCATTGCTCCCTATGCTTCTGTGTATAAGCATGTAATTTTGTATACTCCCTTTAACATTGGATGTCCTAGGAGGGGGAGTAATCCCTTTTACCTCCTAAACAAGCAATCGGGGAGCACACACAGAATTATCATCCCACAAACCTCCTAATGGAGCAATACGGGAGTACTCCCTTAGTTACCTCCCAGAAACCTCCCAAAAAGACAACAAGGGAGTGCACATAGAAAACATCCCACATTCCTCCCTAACGAGTAGTAAGGGAGTACTCCCATAAGAGTCATCCCGGAAGGCTCCTGTACGAGTAATAAAAGAACGTCTCTATACTCCCGAATTGCTCCTCATGGAGTAATGGAAGACTACTCCCACATTGCTCCATAACGAGCATTTTACATAAGCTAAAAAGATTTTGCTTTTTACGCAATTCATTTATTTAATTTTTTAATCATATACATATATACATACTTATGCACATAAATACAAGATTTAAGCTGATTATTACAAAAACAGAAAAAAACATAAATAATTATTATTACAATATTAACTAAAATTAGAAAACGGATATCGAACAGTAATGACAAACTCAAACATTATACATACATACATATATACTTTTATACAATCCACAAGATAAGTGTGGCGAGGATGATTTCCTGGAAAAGTTATTTAACTTGTATTCACCCGGGAGTGGCCCAAACTATTCACGCCTTGAAAAACTTCCGGCTGTACCCAGTAAGTTTTCTGGGCGGGGCAAGATTGCAACGCTAGAACGTAGACGCCTTAATTGCTGGCCCCGTAATCTGAAATATATTTTGAGTTAAATAATACAATCATTTATAAGTTTAAACAAATGCTATCATACATACCAGCGGCTCTAAAGATTTGCTCTCCAATTAATTTCATTGTTTCCTGATTTAAGTTTTTCAATTAGAAATACATATGTATGTATATAAGTATGAATGTACACATCAGTTATCTGTTTTGCTTTCTTCATACATTTTCCAAAAACACAAAATTATGTTGAAGAAGGTGCGTATAGCTCTCCTATCAATTAAAAAGAATACTCCTGGATTGCTCGCTTAGGAAACATCGATTTTTGCTCCTAAGCGAGTAATAACGGAGTACAAAACCAACAAATCTCGCTTATACCTCCGAAATCATGTATCCCGGAGGATACTTTTATTGCTCACTTGGGAGATCTCCCATTATACTCCTAAGTGAGTAATACAGGAGTGCAAAACCGACTAATCTCGCTTATTGCTCCCAAATCATGCCTCAGGGAGCATTCTTTAATTGCTAGCTTAGGAGATGTCCCTATTGACTCCTAAACGAGTAATAAGGGAGTAAAAAGTCCACAAATCTCTCTTATTGATCCGAAATCAGGTCAAGGGGAGTACTCTTTTATTCCTCACTTAGGGAGATCTCCATTCAAGTTCTAGTGGGACAGAACGTTTTGCAGTATCACCGACGATATATGTACACATGTAGATTTGAAAAATAGGGTATTTATTATTTTTATAATTTTTTGAAAAGAGCATATCTTCCCGCAAAGAAGCCCACTCAATTTATTCAAATCCTCTAATTAAAACTCTTTTTTATTTTTCTCATTGATACACAGTTTTCTGGTTACCGAAGCGTATGACGAGCCCGTAACTGAGCAACTTTTGCTTTGAACTCCAAAAAACTTAGCTGGTGTTGAATATTTAATTTTTTTAAATATAATATATAAATGAGACCCATTGAAAAAATTCCCTGTGACAAGCTTTGTGCAATCAGTGAACAAACAAAAAAAAAATATTTTATATCTTCCAAACTAAACCTACGCGCATTCACCGCTAGCACCAAATTAGCTAAACTGCTACTCATTATTACATAACAAAAGACCAAGCGCTAAATAAAGTGCAAACCGGCATAAATACGTATTTAATTTGTAGCTAAATACTACAGCCATTTCCAAGCCCAGCTCCACCGCATGCCGCGTGCAAAATTCTGTAAACCCTAATATTCGAAATTCGTTCAAAACTCACTGGCATCATTTTTAACTGGGCCATAATTCTTGTGCGGAAGATCAGTCAAATCGATTGTGTTGCCCACATACTCGGATGTGCGTAGATTGGCAGATTTGGCTGTGCGATGACAGCAACCGCGCAATAGGCCGTTGCATGTGCCCTGCAATAGACCACCGCTCATCCAACAACTGATAAAAAATTCACAAGTACCGCCGCGATGCTGACATTCTAGTTCGGTTGTGATATCAACTGAGAGAAAGGATAATATATTAAGAGCGGGAAAATGGTTTTGCTTTTTTGGTTATTGAAAATCAGTAGTTTTTGAGAAACTGTTTTTTTTTTAACAAAAATTGTGTATTATTAAAATTAAAAATTCACAACATTGTTTAAGTTGGGCGAGTATGAAAACAAAATGTGGCTCCATTTAATCTCATAAATTTATTATTTATTACAAAAGTTTAATTTCTCGTACATATGTCTGTCGTATATTTGATATTAAGTGCCAAAAAGCAACCAAAAGCACCAAAGAGCTCAAAGAGAATGTAATGAGAAGTTTTTCCATGTGTGAATTTTTT